CATGCTATGCAGTTGAAGGCTGGCAGGGGCTGAGGGGAGATTGTTGGGCCGCGGATATGCGGTGCCAGCAATCTGCCAGTCTGCCGGTGCAATCAAATCGCGTGGCGCTTCGCTTGTGCTATAAAGGGAACGAGCGTCCTACACCATCAGCGACTGCTTTTAGTATAGCGGTAAGCGCAAGGATCTACATGAAGTAGGAATAGGACATAGTCAATTGAGACGACGACGAGGCTCTGCAACTCCAATTTTTGATGACCGGATAGTTGCGTATTTTACAATCCGGATTCCACCAAAAGAGGCGGATCCGTGGGTATGGTAATAAGAGAGAGGGTGCGATGTAGCTTGTCTATGTGGGTAATGGCCTTATGTGTATAGAGGGATGGTGGGTGGAAAGATGAGAGAATTGCGGACGGATTGGATTGCGAGAGGTACAGCTGAATTGAAGGGCTTGAATTAGAGTTAAATGCTACATAACGGAGTATTAATTATTAATGGATCACCTTTTTGGAAAAACTTAATTGAGTCATATTTTTGGAATTGAAAACATCACTACTAATATAGGTGCCATTCTTTCTTATTACAACCATCTAAAGTAAAGCAACTTTGAGGTTATATAATACGGAGTAACTAAGTTAAAAAGTGTAAATCACCCTTCATATCTTTATATAGGAGGTTCTGTCCGACCGTCATCATTTGGAGCGGTTTCCGGTGCAATTTCTTTATGAAAGTTTTTGAGCATCTTCTTCATTAAATCTAGTTTACCCATACCAAATTTCAGCTAAAAATTCAACCGATAAAGCAGTCAAATGATTTTTTGAAGATAACTGCGCAGTTAAATAACGCAGTACATTTCAGAAAATAATTTGATTGTCTTACCGGTTGAATTTTTATCTTAAATTTGGCATGAGTAAATCAGACTTAATGAAGAAAATGTTCAAAAAAAATCATCAAAAAATTCTACCGGGAGCCGCCCCAAATGACCACGCCCGGACAGAGCCTCCTATATAAGGGATGATTTACACTTTTTAAGTTAGTTCAAGAACCTATTTGACCATTTTCCCTATAGATTTTATAACACGCCCGCTCAATTGAGACGATATTATTTACTCCCTCCGTCCCGTTGGAATGTTTCCGCTTTCCTTTTTTGGATGTCCCGTTGGAAAGTTCCCATTTCCCTAAATGGAAAGTTATCCTACATCAAAACAGTATCAAACAGTGTCGAAACAGTGTCAAAACAGTAAAATTTACCCCCTGGGAGTATCCAACGGGACAGAGGGAGTATATTTCTATTTTATTATCAATCTATTAGCTTTAAGGTTTCATATATTTTTCAGCACCCCCTCAAAATTTGTCCGGGTTCTGCCACTGCAAGTATTACCAAACGGGCTCTTTATTAATACCAAAACCGGTTCAGCCGATTTTGGTATTACCAAACGGGCTCTTTATTACTACATACAGTACTTCACAATTTTCTAGTGTAAGACTTCAACACTCTTCACGATCAGACACTTCGTCTGGATCGTGTCGTCATTCATTTTTTCGTCGATTTGTTATTGTTATTTTTTATAATCATGTCATCATTTTTCATAAGGTGACCCACATCATTAACATGGATCAGTTTGACTCTAATGCATGTCATGTTAATTAAGATCTGGGATTATACATATCTTAATTAAAAGGTTAACCTAACTCATGTATATGTGACCCCTTATCTTAACTGTATGGGTGGTTTCGTAACCTTCAATGTGTAAATATGTAATGTTTACTTATATAGAAAGTACTTCCTCCGTTTCTTTTTTAATTGCAACAGTTCACTTTTCATGTTTGTCAATGCACAACTTTGATCATTAATATCTTTTATTCCTTATTAGTAAAAAAATAAAAATTCAGATTTTGAAAATTTAATGTGAGAAGAATTTAACAATATTTTGAAAATTTTAATTTATAATATATTAATAAATAAAATATAGTCAAAGTAAAATGTGTGAATAGTGCAAAAAAATGTAATAAATAGAGAAAGGGAAGTAATATATTTTTACGCGTTTCTATGTATATCCATATGTGCTCTAGTGCTCCTACCTTTTCTGGGCTACACACTATACAAACTATCTACCTTTAGTAAGTTTCACGGTCAAATCTAATACGTTGTACCTTATCCTTAATTATGTGCCTAGTCAGAGAACTAGAAAAAAAAGGATGACACCAATCCTAGAGGACCTCCAATCTCGATCGAACGTTAGATTGGAGTATATTATATACGGTGATCGACGGAGACACGAAGTGAAGGAGTTAAACTACTATGGAGAAAATTATACCAGAAATAATTAATAGTGCATGTTTGTAAACTATACATACAAGAAAATTGTTTATGAGTGTTATTACTTGTATACATGTATATAAGCGTTTGGATAAACAAAACCTAATACTCCGTCCCAAATTGATTTACAAATTTGATTTTTCTTGATCAAATTGTTTTCATTTTATTCGCTTAATTATGATGTTAATTTTTAATTATTTTCTAATATGAAGTTTGCAGCTTTGAAGATTTAAATTTTAATTATTAAAAATTGAATTAATTATCGATAGGGAGGATTGACTTTTATTATTGATTGACCAACAAATATTGACTTTGCAAAACAATTTAGAACGGACCTGGTATATAAATTTGAAATGTCAAAGTAAAATGGATAGTGGGAAATCTTTCTGAGATTAACTCTGATTTTTTGGATGGGGTGAACTTTTCCTTTTGTCGTTCGGAATTAAAGGAAAAAACGTATAAGTACATCAACAGATCGATAATGCACTCGTGTATATCTAGAGAACCTAACCAGCTAATTTGATCGAGAGGAAAGATAGACATAACTGAATGGCGATTTCATTATACCTAAAAGGTCTTTTATTAGGTCTCCCCGACAATTAGAAAAGTTTTTTTTGCATATCCTACTTATGGTTTTTTAACCGAGAGGCGGGGAGATCAGGGGTTGGAAGAACCCGGGACAAACGGGGCTGAAATTCGCTCCATCTAATTTCGATCTAAGTCAAGACCGATGCGAAGAGTGAGTCGGTGACTAAATAAATAATCATTTCATTTTCATTTACCCCAGTGCCGCAAAGCTCCCACCTACGGTGGGGTAAAGGGGGTCGTATGTACGCAGTCTTACCCTATACTAAAGCACAGAGAGACTGTTTCCGGATGACTCATAGTGAAATTTCCGTTCAAAATTGCATAGACTGACTGCTGCTTCATAACAAAGAAGCGCAGACAGTTTAGTGAGCCATTTTGCTTTATTCCATCATAATTTTAAGCCAAAAAATAATGAATCTTTGACTCCATCGCAAATGATGGAAATGACCAAATAAATAATATACTACGTATTTTTATGAACAAAAACATAGACATTATATTACGTACAAATATACTTATGATATATAAGTGACGATTTTTTTAATAATATTAATTATTAAAATTTGGAGTTTCAATGTAAAAGCCCACTGCAATAATAGACAAAGTATTTTGTAACTCATCTGAATTTTCTTGAGAATGTAGAGCGTAATTAAAATTGCCTTTGGTTTGATGTATTCCCTTCTTTAACTAGCTCATTCCAAGTCAACATTGAACAACACTATCCAAAAGACTAGAACTTTGTAATATGTGGAATTTGTGATTATTTGTATTAAAAATCTACTTTACAAAAATCTACTTGTAATATTTACACCACTTGTGTGATATTCCCAAACGTAATCCTAATACGTTATGTAATGGAGTATTCAACATGCAAGTTTCGTTTTGAATATGTACGTTACCATGTATTCCATTTGTTTTATAAAATTTGGTCAAAGTGATTAAGTGATGAGTAAATTCCTTAAATAGGAGTAAAAAAATTGAAATTCTAAAATAGGACTATCATGTTTTTTATTTCCTAAATAGGAGTAAATTTCTGCCAAATTTGACATTATTAGGCTCTTAAGCATGACATCTTTTCAAACTTGGCAGATTACTCTTATTCAAACAATAAAGAAAATGATACTCCTTTTTTGGAATTTCAAAGCATTTTTACTCATATTTAGGGCAATTTCTATTAAGTGATGCGTGAAATAGCCTTAGTTCCCATTTGATTTCCAAAGTTTTCTTTTTAGTTGCCTCAAACGGATTTTTCATTTTTGTTATATGTATGGAAAAATAAATAAAATGATAAATTTAGAGGCCGTTTGGCAACCCTCATTTTCGACTTATCAGGCTTATCAGCCAACTTTTTTACCAAACACGTAAATTTTGCTTTCGCACGCTGAATTGTGTAATAAGCAGAAAAAGTAAGGTTGGAGTTACTTTTCTGGCTGTATTGGCTGAAGTTACTGTGGATGATCATTTTAGCTATTTTTACATATAATTTTTTCTTTATTTTATTAATAAAATATATTTTAAAAATATTTTTTTTCTTGTATCAGCAGAATCAGTCAATGCAGCCACTTCAGTCAGAACTTCATAAATTTCAGCAGAATCAGCCAAAACAGCTGATTTTCGTGCTACCAAACGGGCTCTTACCCTTTACATTTTATTTTTATGGGAGAACGTTATGGGAGAAAAGGGTAAAATAGCAAAACGTAAATAAAATTATTTTATCAAATAATTACAAACCTTTTGTTTTAACATCTTTTGAGTAACTAAAAGTAAACAATAACAATTCTTCAAATCTTACAAAAAGTATATTTTCAATTAATTGTACCAAATACTCCTCTATTTTAAACTTTTCAAATTTCTTTTTCCGTCCGGTACTCTAGTTGCATAAACTAATTCGTTTCTTTTAGAAATTTGCTAAATAGCCTAAAAACTTTGGATAGTTTTCGTCTACACTTTTGCCGAGTACCCGACAATACGAGTATCAGCAATTCAACTTTACCCTCAAAATCTTCTTTTTAATGTAAATATAGTCTGATAACCGACCAACTCCCATGTGCTTACAATGGATATATATATATATACGTATACACACATATTCATTGAAGTATCACATATTCATTAGAATCTTAATTTTTGCCATCCCTCTTTTATTCTCTCTATCCAACTAACTGATATACCTGTCTATCTAAATTCATACTTTCTTATGTTTAAGCCCACTGCTGCTAACATCAAGATCAACCACCCTAATTACATTCTAATCCTATTCCTTCTTCAATCTCACTGTTTCTTGAAATCAATTGATAGGAATAATTGTTATTATTATTGTATTCTCCCATCCAAATGTCACTAAATTTCAATGCCTCTGTTCTTTTTTTGTTCTTCCCGATAATCAGGGTGGTCTTTCCAGGTAATGAAATGTAATCTTCACAATTTGGGCGGATATATATAATTCTTCATTTATTGATAAAGTTTGTTTTTTTTTTTCATTTTGCAGGAGTAATGGGTGCTAATTTTATGGTGATTAACAGATGTGATTATACAGTATGGCCCGGAATATTGGGTAATGCGGGCAGTGCCGGGTTGGGCAGTACCGGATTCGAACTTCCGCCGGGCGGGTCACGGGCCTTTCAAGTCTCTTCGAGCTGGTCGGGTCGGATCTGGGGCAGAACCGGCTGCGCATTTGATGCCGGAACGGGTCAGGGGAGCTGCGCCACCGCCGACTGCGGCTCCAATCAAATAGAGTGTAATGGCGCCGGCGCGACACCGCCGGCGACACTAGCGGAGTTCACGATCGGAAATTCGGGGAGTCAAGATTTCTACGACGTCAGCCTGGTCGACGGATACAACTTGCCGATGCAAGTGGAGGCCATTGGCGGGTCTGGAGCTTGCGGGTCGACGGGGTGCGCGGCGGATTTGAACCGGATGTGCCCGGAGGCGCTGCGGGCCAGGGATGGGCAGGCGTGCAGCAGCGCGTGCGAAGCGTTTGGGAGTCCGGAATACTGTTGCAGCGGCGCGTATGGTTCACCTTCCACGTGTAAGCCGTCGTCGTATTCGGTGATGTTCAAAACGGCTTGCCCGAGATCGTATAGCTACGCCTACGATGACGCCACCAGCACTTTTACCTGTTTGGGAGCCGATTATAAGATTACCTTCTGTCCTTCCACCACAAGGTAAGTAGTACGTACTCCGTATTATTTTTTGAATATGTTTACTTCAATTCTAAACTAGAAGAGATTAGATTTAAGGAGATTATAGATTTATGATAATAATATACACATAAATCAGATATCGCTTACACTATCAATTCAAACTCAGGGCCCCAAAAATTTGGTAAATAATAAGAGCCCGTAAATAATGTATTCTAGTATTATAAATGCACAATTCTTCCTATTTTATTAAAATAACAACAATACAAAAAATATTAATCAAAATAATATCATACAGCTATGTGAGATTAATTATATGGTGTAGGCGTATTACTTAAATTACTGCTTACAAATCTTAATATCAGATTTATAAGCCAAAAAAAATCTAAGTAGATCAGACCAGAAAATTCTAATCGATAATAAAAAATATCCTTACTTCAATTCAATCCCCCTTCAATATTTTGTTTTGACCCGTTCTATTACAAAGTTAAACTCTTAAATGTAAATGTTTTTGACGGAGTAAAATGTTTTTGACGGAGTAAAATGCATAAATGATACGGAGTACCTAAATTATTGGTATCATTGCATTTTGTTAAGTGGTATATACCCCTTTGGTAACTAAAGTAACTTTAATGATTTAAGCCAGATTCTTGTTCATAAAATTTACTTCGGTAATAGTTTAGCTAAAATCCGAAAACAACTTACCAAAGCATACATGTTAAATATCAAAAAATTGTGTTTGTAGCCACCATTATACTCACTTTTATATTCACCAAGACGAGATGTTACTTTTTTGTTCCTGTTAAACACCAGGGACGAAGGTAGGGGTACCTAGGCCCAGCTCATCCTAAATTTAATTTTTCTTATATAGAGTAGTGTTTAGTGTAAAATATTTATACAAAAAATTCTCTAAAAAGGTTTTATGCGGATCTGGCCCAGCCCAATTTTGTGACTACGCCCATGCTAAGGACAAAATGAATAATCAGAAAAAATATCATGGACGGTGGGAGCATGGGAATTACAATTTTCTTTTGTAAGATTAGACCATAGCTTTGGGATACACAGTCTGGAAAGAGTAATATCTTTATACATAAAGATATGTAAATTAGACAATTTCTATTCTAATTTGTCGTGTGTAACTGAAAGATTAATTCTTGCAGCCAAATGCAAAGATCCTCCTCTACACCTGTACTATTGCCCTCTCCGGTCATCGGAATATCCTCGACGAGTGTACCTCCGACGGTCAACCAAACTAGCGGTGTTTTGGATCCCGGCCACCAGGATGGGTTGGTGAATGGATGGATTCGAGGAATCATAGGAGGAGGAGAATCATCATCATCGGCAAAAATGTCACATTTTGCCTTGCATTACAAGTCACCATTGACAGCACTTCCCCTACTTATGCTGATTTTTCTTCACTTGACTTGTAATTAAAGTAACTCATTCTTGATTTCCCATTCTTCCATTTGTATAATATAATCCACAGACATGATGACGTTGGAGGCACGTTTGGGAAAAGGCTCCCAATTTCAATCATGCATGTATAAAAGTTATCTAATTGGTTGGTTATTAGCACTTTATTTGTTGCTGTTTGCAGCTAACTTGTGAAGTCTCGCGTACATATCACACATTCACAGTATGTCTATAGATTCGTAAAAAATGACAATGACGAACAAATGAAAAATGAATGATGACACATTCAAATGAAGCGTCTGGTCATGAGGGGGCGTTGTTGTCCCACACCGGATCTCTTAAACAATCTAAAGCTATATTAGGACATGTGTTACTCCTCCTATCGGGTATATTTTTAAGGTGACAACTCCGGTACCTTTCTAAAAAATGGGGTACCGTACCTACCATTCATTTGATTGGATCACACCACTTTATCATTTTTAATTTAGATTTAAATAAGGTGACAAAGGTATGGTACCTTATGGGTACCATAGAATTTACCTATTTTTAATTCCCAAATTATTTGTCCACACTTTTGTGTACATATCATTTTACATACGTCTGTGAGTACCTTTTTTTTGTGAATAATTTGTTCACAAACAAAAAATAACTGCTCACGAGCGTGTGTAAGATAGTTTGCACACCCAAATGTGTACAAGAAGATAAATTGTAAACTTATTAGCAGGTACTTTATGCCGCCTTCGTGCGGATCGATGGGCGATGGCGGACCTTTGCAAAGCAAGTCACGAAATGGACACTTAACTATATGAAGTTATGCACATTAAACTATATGAAATTATGCACATTAATGCATCAAGAATGAGGCACTCCAACATTATCCAACATAACAAACATTTAGAATTATACACAAGCTAAAATATATACAATTAACATTGGGTGGGTATTAAAAATTGTGAATCATTTGATTTCTTTCTCTAACTGAAATTCTTGAGGTCTGGAGGCAAACTAATACGTGTTGGGTGTGTTTCGAAAAACAAAGAAAATTAATTAATAAAGATTAATTAAATAAAATGACTTAAAGAAAAACAAGAAATGAGATGAAGCAGAATAAGCCAAAGCTCGTGCTACGCACGATTTCCTTAAAACGTATTCGTTGCCTCCCGGGGTGTTAGGAGCGTTGCAACGATCGTTTCCCAGGATACGATGACTTCGAACAATAGTTTAGCACTCAAACTAAAGTTCCAACGAACGTGAACAAAAGCAGAACACCGAAGGAGTTTGTATGAAGTGCTAGAGGTGCTGTTTTAGCTATGAAAATACGTGAACGAAGTGTATGAAAGGGTGTGTCTTTGCAAAGCACCTACTAGCCTTTTATAGGGGTGGATTAAGGTGTGTTAATGGCTGTTTAAGGGTTATGATCGTTGGAAGATAGATTTTCGGACGTTATCTTTAGAAGATAGATTTTCGGACGGCATTCGTGTGTGCAGGTCGCCCGCACACGCAAGTCGCGGTTTTTGTTCTTCGGTTTCGGGATTTGATTCGCACCCCCTGCGCGCGTGAGAGAGCCTTTCCCTTTAGGAATCTTAACTCCTTAGGGGGGGGTTTCCCTTTATAAAGGGTTCAAATTCCCTTGTGATTTTCAGTGTGGGAAAGAACCCACACTAAAACCCACATTTTCCTAGTTTTCTCCATTCCAACGGGTAAACTTCGAAAAACAATTTCTCATTCACCCGTTATCCGTTTTGAGTGTACCATATATCGAATTGTAGCCCTTAGCAAGGACAATCCGAAACCACTTTGACCCGACCCAAATCGGAAGTGGACCCCATTCAAATAATTGCCCCAAAATGACCATTTAATGCACTTTTAACACACTTTTTCCAACAATCCCCCACATGAATGAAAATTGATTTTCGAGACTTAAAAAGACACGAAGATAGGAGGACACGTTGTGTTCACCGGATGATCCCTGCACACGGAGAGGTAGGTTTTATCCTTTGAACCTTCCGCTGTAAAGACACGTTTATTTACTGGCTGTCTAGTAGACTCGATGTCCTTGAACTATACTGCCGTCGTGTAAACATTGACTTATCTTTACACAAGAACCTTCCAACTTTGTTCCATTCTCATGGGTGTGCCCGTTTTGGCCATGGGTCACCGTCCTGGTTTTGCAAGAGTTTCTAAAGAACTGAGCCATTACAGTTCTCCTTTGAAGCGGCCCTCTTCTCTCTCACATAGGTGATTCTTTCATGAGTATCCCGCATACTCTTCCAATGTTATCGAGTAGATCAACATTTTAGAATCATTAAAGCAAACATTTTTGCTAACCTCGTGCGGGAGTCACTGTTTCAACGAGGGGTGGGTAGGAGTCCGGGACCCCCACAGTGACCATCATTCGCTCTATAATTTAGTTGTCCCTTTTGAACCTAGGACCAACTAGGTTGGGTATCCACTATAGAACTTTTCAATTTACGGGCTTTAGTCCCATTCCTCGTGATAACTTCTCCAACAATTCTCTATCCAATGCCTTAGTTAGCGGATCCGCTACGTTATCCTTTGACTTCACGTAGTCAACAGTGATAACACCCGTTGTGAGGAGTTGTTTAATGGTGTTATGTCTACGACGAACGTGTCTAGACTTACCATTGTAGAGATTGCTCTGTGCCCTTCCAATTGCCGCTTGACAATCACAATGTATGCATATTGGAGGGACAGGCTTCTCCCAACTTGGAATATCCTCGAGAAAATGGCGTAGCCATTCAGCCTCTTCAGTGCACTTATCCAAGGCTATTAGCTCAGATTCCATCGTGGATCTAGCTATTAACGTTTGTTTCGAGGATTTCCACGACACGGCTGCACCTCCCAAAGTGAAAACATATCCACTTGTGGATTTTGAGTCCTTAATGTCAGATATCCAACTAGCGTCGCTATACCCTTCAAGTACAGCTGGATATCTTCCATAGTGCAGTCCAAGGTTTTGGGTTTTCCGTAAATACCTCAAAACCCTTACTATTGCCTTCCAGTGTTCATCACCGGGGTTGCTAGTATATCTACTAAGCTTACTAACCACAAAGGCAATATCAGGCCTGGTACAACTCATTAGATACATTAAACTGCCAATAATCCTAGCGTATTCTACTTGAGAAATACACTCTCCACGTTTTTTGGTCAGATGTACATTTTTATCTAATGGCGTCCTTGCCTCTTGATAATCATCCTTATTAAATTTAGTAAGAATTTTATCAACGTAATGGGATTGACTTAGCGTTAGACCGTCAGGTCCTCTAATTATTTTAATCCCAAGGATTAAATCGGCCAGCCCCATATCCTTCATGTAAAACTTAGAATTTAACATGCTTTTGGTAGAATTAATCATTAGATTATTGCTACCCACGATGAGTATATCATCCACATATAAACATAAAATGACATAGCCGTCTACCGTGCTCTTCACATAGACGCATTTGTCACTTTCGTTTATTTTAAACCCATTAATTAACATTGCATGATCGAACTTTTCGTGCCACTGTTTAGGGGCTTGTTTCAATCCATACAATGATTTAATTAATTTACACACTTTCCTTTCTTGGCCTGGAACACGAAAGCCCTCGGGCTGTTCCATATAGATTTCTTCGTCTATATCGCCATTTAGAAAAGCGGTTTTTACGTCCATTTGATGAACTTCCAATTTCCGCAATGCGGCAATTGCTAGTATCATCCTAATGGAATTTATTCTCGTCACAGGAGAATACATGTCAAAGTAATCATGGCCCTCACGTTGCTTGTATCCCTTGATTACAAGTCTGGCCTTGTACTTATCGATGGAACCGTCAGGTTTCATTTTCCGTTTAAAAATCCACTTGGATCCCAAAGGTTTATTTCCCGGAGGAAGATCAACCAATTCCCATGTGTGATTTTTAAGGATAGAATCCACCTCACTTTTGATGGCTTCTTTCCACATAGGACCTTCAATAGACGTCACGGCTTCTGTATAAGTCCGTGGCTCATTTTCTACCAAACATGTTAGAAAATCCGGTTCATTTTCTACCATACATGTTAGAATATCCGAGTCAACGTCTACCAGGTAGGTGAGAAAATCCGGTCCGAAGGATTTTTCAATTCTAGCACGTTTGCTACGTCTGGGTTCGAGTTCTTCTCCGGATCCCTCGCTAGTATTTTCCATAGCTACGTCAAATGTTCGTTTTGACGTGCTAGGCACTTCGTTGGACTTGCATGGAAATACATCTTCAAAGAATGAAGCATTCTTTGATTCAATTATTGTGTTTTTATGTACATCCGGATTATTTGAATCGTACACTAAAAACCGATACGCACTACTATTTTGTGCATATCCAATAAAAATACAATCCACCGTTTTTGGACCTATTTTTATTTTCTTAGGTGTTGGTACAAGCACCTTAGCAACTCGTACGGAGTTTTATCATATTTTAAATATGATAGGAAGGCCGTCTGCCTTTCCACAACTCGTATGGAGTTTTATCATATTTTTTCCGGGGAACCTTATTTAAAAGGTAATTGCTTGTTAAGATTGCTTCACCCCACATATTTTGTGGCAGGCCCAAACTTACTAGCATCGCATTCATCATATGTTTCAATGTGCAATTCTTTCGTTCGGCAACACCGTTTGATTGAGGTGAATAGGGTGCGGTACGTTCGTGTACTATACCCACACTTGCGCAAAAGTCACCAATTGGTGCTTCATACTCACCACCTCGATCACTCATAACCGTTTTAATCCGTCGATTAAGTTAGTTTTCCACTTCATTCTTATAAAGAATAAATTTATCTATTGCTTCGTGTTTATTTTTTAATAAATAAACATAACTATAGCGAGTGCTATCATCGATAAAAGTAATAAAATATTTATTACCGCCACGTGTTTGTATTGATTTAAAATCACAAACGTCACTATGAATTAATTCTAGTGGTTCCGTTTTTCTTTCAACCGATTTGAAAGACGTTTACGCTAGTTTTACCTCTACACAAACTCCACATTTGTGATTCACATCAATTGTGAATTTAGGAATGTGTTCCATGTTAATTAATCTACGTATAGAATTAAAATTAACATGTCCTAGTCTACCATGCCACACATTGGAAGACTCAAGCAAGTAAGCAGAAGAGATTTTATTATTATTAATAATAATAGTCATTACATTGAGCTTAAACAGCC